GGAAGATATGATCTACTTTAAAAAAAAAAAAATTAGATAAACTGGGAGAAGTGCAATCTGATACTAGATGAAACAGCACCAAAAATTTGCACTTTGTGCTCCTGGGGCAGAAAAGGTTCGGCAGACCCAGTGCCACAACAGCCAGGCAAAACTCTCCCAAGGAGCATCCAGGGATTTGCTTGAGAGCAGGTGGCTCCGTGGGAATAAATATGTTTCTGGATGTTGCTGCCCCTCTAGAGAGAAGGGCTGGCAGCTGGGGATATGTTGTGCCCCAAAAGCACAAGATCGTTTTTTTTTTATTCTAGTTCTAGAAAATTATGTGGAGAATTGTGTAAATGCTCCTGATGTGGTGGGTCAGGTCCTGCAGCACAAATCCCGACGGCCATTCCATTGCTGGTTTGGACGAAGGTGTATGTTAGAGGTGACTTTGAGGGCTCTTCCTTTGGTTCAAGGCAATGAGGTAGAGCTTAGTAGGTGGCCTGTCTCCATCAACCTGCCAGAGATGGCTTTGGTGAAGAAGAAATCCAACCAAAGAGCATTTGTTGTCTTTTGGGGACTGTGCTGATTTTCCCTATGTTGATGGAAAGTCCCAGGCCGTGTGTAGGGATTTTGCTGATTATTATTATTTTTTTTTAGAATTAGCTGTCCACCATTTCCTCTTTTAACTACAAAAATCTGCCTTCTGGTTTCTTTCGGGTTGACGTTTGCTCTGTCTGATAGATACTAGGGATGTTCTCAGTGCTGTTCCCAGCATCGAAGGGGCTCAGATACAGGACCTGGTTGTGCAGCTCTTTGTGTCCAGAGTACTCCAGTGACTTTGGGGGCCAGGTCTGCACCTGAGGACCCAGTGCACAACATGGGGAGGCTTTCACCACGCAAAGTCTCCTCTCTCCAGTCTGTGTTTCATATCTGGAAATACAGGCATTCTTGAAAAAAACCCAACTAAATGGGTTTTTTTTCAGACTCAGTACTGGTCCAGCTCATGAGAGGCAGGGTGGAGGCATCATCCAGCTCCTGACAGCACCGTGAGGGCTGGAGCCTCATACCCCTCAATATCCTCCTTGATACTAAGAATTCAATGTATAGGCAGAAACAAACCAAAACTGGCATAATTTTATGGTACTCAACTTTGACAGTGCCCTGCCAAAAATAGTGTAAAGGGTTTGGTTTGGGTTTTTTTTTTTTCCCCCTGGAAGTGAAGAGTTTGATTTGACTTTGTGATCTAAAAGTTTTCCACTGGTCAGGAAAGCCTATTCACTCGTAACTGTTGTCTCTCCTCCTGCTTTTTCCGTTATTGTCATCCTTTAAGAGCTGTGTGAATCGGGATATGCCGGGTCCTGCTAGGTGGGGGATGCCCAGCAGCAGGCAGGGCTCGAAGCACGCTCTGCCAGCCGAGCAGGCACCCAGCGGCATGGCAAGGGTTAAATTTCATGCTGCAGCTGCAAACCCCAATTTCTTTATTTCCTGTTAATGACATTATTGCCTACATAAAACCATCGGAACATGTTTCTTTCATTTGTTTAATTTCAAATTCTGAGCACACTAGCTGGAAACTATGTTTAATAGTTAAACTCAAAACATTTGGATTTCCTCTCCTCGCTGAGATTTGCAGCGAGTACACTTCATACTTAGTTGACTTGTTAAGTAACCATTTTTACACAGCTATAGAAGCCAGCCAGAAAACAAAAAGGATTATATTGCGGAATCAAATCACATCAGTTCAGGCTAGTAGCACATCGTACATTTCACTTCCTCCGCAGTCGTGCCAAGATGCCATCAGACCCAACTTGTTACCAAGCTGGCCATGCTCTCTTCTAGGAGCGTCCAGCCTTTGCAGAACAGGAGCCAGCACACCCCGCGTGCTCTGCGCATGCTGAAGGACTTCCCTGGGCATGCGTGGAAAAAACGTTCCCGTTTCCATGAAAAAAAAGGCTGGAATCTACTTCAGGCCTTGCTAGCACTGACGTTCCCATCACCTGCCTGTGATTCTCCTGCAGAAGCTCACGTGCCAGGTTCTTGCTGCCAAGTGCTCTCTGGGCAAAGGCAAAGTGGGAACGTACGTGGATCCAAACCATCTCATTTGAAGGGGAATCCTTAAACCTGAACCTATTGGGCAGGTAAAGATCCAAGCTGCCAGAGACATGTTGCCTGTTGATGATTTATCAAACTGCTACAAACTCTGGGATTTAGCCCCCTCAGGGTGATGGACACCTACAGCAGTTGTGTAAAGCTTGACTGCTTGCGTGATGGAGTCTCTAAAAGTCACTTCATCAGCACTCAGGGGATTAGTGCATGGAGAACTCCAATGGAAAATGGGTTTTAAATCACTTTAGATTCAGATTCTCCTTGGCACATGTATACTGTGTATGAAGCAAGCCCAGAATTAATATTACGTCTAGCAGAAGAGAGAGCAGAGATGGAGCAAGAAGGAACGTGGCCCTGAATGAGACGCTCCAAGGAGTTATCGCCCAGTCCTGACAAGAGGACCACACTCAGTGCCTCTGCCATGGCATCACAGACATGTTCCTAGTGCTCAATTTTCCATGACAAAAATCCCTATTTGACTAAAAAAATTCAGTAGGACCTGGCTGTTGCCTTCAGGGGTGTTGTCTTTGAAGAGCTCAGCTGCTAGGAGAATACATAGCAGGGCTGGATACCCTCGCCGTGGTGTTTGCACCCCTTACACCCAGCCATGCAGTTGCCCACCAGAGGTCTTGTAGACCCCATCTCCTACCAGTTACTTAAACGAGAAGCCAGCAGAGAAAGCGATGTCTTGTTCTCGAGCTGTGAGGATAGAGTTGTGGAAAAAATAAGTCGTGGGAAGTTGGTCGTAAATATCGTCATTTGCCTCTTTTGCCCCCACCCTCTTTTCAATCCCTGTTCCGTGCAGGTGAAGGAAGCAGTTCAGAAATGTTAATAGATAGCAAAGTGCTTATGTGTGTTTTATCAGCTCGCATAGAACGGTTAATGCTGATACGGCGCGCCTTTTAAGTCTTAAAAAATCTGGCCAAGCGTGTGCAGATAGCAGGGAGTGCGCTGAACAAAACATCAAGGAAAAAAGTCTGTAGGGGGGAATGGAAATGTTAAAAGGATTATAGGAAGAGAAAATGTATTGGACTTATCTGGCAATACTCGGTAACAAAAGTATGCCGGTTTATGAAATGAACTTCAAATCCCATAAAACTAATTGTGTGTTTTCTTGTCTTATTTTTAAGTATTTCTGGCAGCGCCTTTTTCCCCCACTGCAAAAGCGTGTCTGCATGGGGATAATACTCGGTGCTTGCAGTATACAGAGAGATTACACAGCCGATTGGTTTTATACCTCTTACGCTAATGATGTTAAACTAGTTTATTAAAAAAAAAAAAAGAAAAAAAGAAAAAAAAAGGAAGAATAACTTCAAAGGTTCACATGTGGGTTGCAAACCTCTCATGTCTGCTATATACAGGGCCTTCCTCTTAGTTTGATCAAGACTGTTCCCAGCACTTCTGCTGAAATACTTGCGAGCCTTTGATCTCGTTATCAACATGACCACCAGCGAGAGCACCGCCGCTCGCTGCGCGTGTGACAGAGCGGGTGACGTCAGTCGCCGTCGCTGACTAACGCCGCTTTGGGGTTCGGCTTGTGCTGCTGCACGGGTCCTCCTTGGGCTGCGCTTATCGCAGAGGAGCCTTCCCGCCGGGAAAATGACTGATAGCCCGAGACCTCAGCCCGCCACGGCCATGCCTTCCGCCGAGGCGGGGGGAGTAAACAGAGCTGCTCGCCCTCCTCTTGCTTGGCCAGGGAAGGGGACGCAAAGGGATGGAGCGGGAGGGAAGAGGTTGGAGGGGTCTTACTGAGGGGGTTAGATTTGGCCCCATGTGGGGGCTGGCGAGAGGTGGGCATGGAGAGGAGAGAGCTCAGCTCGCTCACTTTGTCTTTCCTCCGTGTTTTCCATCAGTGTCCGTGTGATCTCACCGCGGTTTTAGCAGAGGAAGCGCCTTTGAGGTGCATTAGTCGAAGCAGCGTCGGGTGGCAGCAGCATGCTCGGGGCGGCGGGGGCTGCCCGGGGTCTGGGTGGCACCTCTTGGTTTCTGCTTCGGTGTTGTCCATAGGGAAGGCGCTTCCCTGGCCCTGGGTGTGTCCCTGCACACAGTGGTGGGCACACCGTTGAGCTGTGGTATAGGACTTGTAGGTCACCAACAGCACAGCCTAAAATTTAGGTGTCACTATAATTTGCTGAGGCTGTTAGGTCCGATTGTGCTCCTCTGTCTTCTCCATAAGGCCACATACGGGGACATCCCCAGAGCCTTAACACTCCTGGCGTCTGACCTCATTTTCTGCAGGGAGACAATGACCTGGAGGCATCTCTTCCGGAGCAAGACACCAGCAAGACACCTGCCCCGTGGGCAGAGAAGGCAGCAATGGAGCTGGGTTTGCTGGTCAGGCTGTTGGGCTGTTGCGTTGGAAGCCCAGGGAGTGTGCCTGGGACATCTGTCAGCACTGAGAGCGACGCTCTCACCCCAGCACTTCAGTCCTTAATGGCTCCCACTGCGTTTTTTCTTTCCTACTTTTCTTTTTTTTTTTTTTAAACTACCTGCTCTAAAAAAGCTCTCAAACAAAAAAGAAAAAGAAAAAAAACCCCCTCTTTATTATGTAGCTTCACTGTGAACTGACTCTTTTCATCTAAAATTATTCCTTTTTGGTGCCACAATCTGACTTCAAGCTTCTTTGCACTGCCTGTGAACATGATCTATAGCAGCAGCCAGCAAGGAGAGGATGTGTCTGGCCTTTGCAGCGGCACCGCGAGGGCATGAGCACGGCTGGGTGACGTGGCCCCGTTCGGCTTTTTGCGGTCATTTTCTCAAGCATCTACTGAATTTTTATCCAGAACGCAGAAGGGCTAACAAATAAAATATAAACAGTTAATTTTCCTTCTGTTCAGCCTGGGAATTCAGGTTCAAGTTTAGACTGGAAAATCAGAAGGAAATTCAAAGATATTCTGCTTTCTTGATGACTGCAGCTGCTACCTGAACACAGAGATTCCCTGTAGATCTACGAACAAGGACTTCCAGAAACTGATAAAGATGAAGAAAACTCTGGAAGACCTTCTTGTACCTGCCACCGCCTGCCTAGTTCATCAGATTGCTTTCAAATCTCAGGCACTACGTGACTCTTCCCCGTTGGCAGGAGGAGAAAATAGACTCCCCGACTGGACACACGGAAAATGAACGGGGCCACCGCGGCTTTGGGGAGGACAAGCTGCTCCGCGGGCACTTCCACACAAAGCCACGTCCCCAGGCGCTTGCCCTCCTCTAATTTCGTTCCCAAAGCATCCCTTTTTTGGTGACTGTCATAACGAGGATGGCGGGCGAGGCAGGTCTTCGGGTGAGCTGCTCTTACGCACGTGCAATGCCGAATAATGCCGTAAATTAAGTACCTGGCTGGGTGACTCGCTTGCTTGGTGCCCTCCCAGGGCATCGGTGCAGGGCACAATTATTGCACAATGGCACTTGGAGTAGAGCAGTTGGCTAAATGACGTTTTTATGAAACATAATGAATGATACTTAATGAGATTTTCTTCCAAAGTGGGAAACTCCTTCAGACTGCATTACCATTTCCTGTGCTATAGCAGTCAACAGGACTGGGAGATCTCTTCATGCCAACGTCGTTTCAAAGCGAGTTCAAGGTGTGAGTAGCAGGAGGTGATCGATCAGCCGCTGGTGGTCGGAGGTCCTGGGCTGGAGGTGCTCCCTCTGTCACCATTGCAAGGGGCCCAGTGGGCACAGGGGGTTCGCTCTCCCAGGAGAGGATCACGTTGTATGGCCCAGTCGCATCTGGCTTAGTGGAATGTCCACACTTGGCATCATTGGCAGCAAAAATATTAGTGACTCTAATAATTCATAACTGCTCGTTGTGCTTAGAAACGGCTTTTACTGCTCAGATCGTGCGTTTGGCAGAAAGTTTGCTTTCTGTGCCCAATGGTAGCCATTCCCAGGCCCGAAAAAATGGATAATTGGGCAGCAAAAACAAATTCACCCACATGTTATTTTGTATTATTAGCCCAGGTCGTCCAGTGCAGGCACCTGGCAATGTGCACGGGGAGCTCCTCGCCGCCGTGCCTGCCCCTCGGATGGATCCAGCCGTCCCGGAGCTGATGAAATTGCAGCTTCAAAGGCCACCACATCCAGGGCCACCGTGACACACAGCCTCTTCGGTGTTTTGCTTGCCATCTCCATGGTTTGAGCAGGGCCTAGAGGAGCAAGAAATGGGGAGCTCCTCAGCGTGTGGCAAAGCTGTCTGGTGATGGCGCAAACTTTTTCAATGAAGCCGCTTTTTTCAGCGTCGGTTTGGTGAGAAGGGAGAGGCGTGGGTTTACGGCCACGACTCCGGGTTCTGTCATCCTGTTCAGGATCGTGACGGCACTGAGCCCCACTGCCAGCCCAGGTGTGGGGAGACACGGATCTCCTTGCGTCGTGGTGCCTGCGGTGGTCCCTGCCGAGGGGCTCAAGGAGTGGGGGGTACCAGCACGTAGGGTCTTCTGCTGACGTGTGGAAGTGCTTGATCCCAAGGTCTTTGCTCAGGGATGTGGCAGAGAGGATCCGTTTGGGGCCTCTAGATCTGTGATCTAGGAATTCATACCGATAATAATGACATAAAGCAGAGCTTGGCTTGAGAATCTCGCGCTGCCCCGCATCCATCCTGCTCTGCCACTCGGTTTGGGGCTCTGTGCCCGGTCGTGGAGCTCGGGTGCGTTTGCTGCTCGCCAGGGAGAGGGAAAAGGAGCTGCGGGGCCAGGGTGAGCGCCAGGAGGGCAGAGCCCAGGGTGGGCTCCGCTGTGGTGGGAACCACTGAGCCCCCACATCCAGCCTCAGAGCAAGATAGGGGGGAGGGCAGGAGGCACTTTGGATCTGGAGAACAGGTTTGGGGGCCAACCCCTAATTAAAACCTTTTGTATGAAGTTAAAAAATAATATATTCCTGGTCTGTTTAATATTTAACAGATGGGGGGTGGGGGGACGTGAACACAACTGTGCAGACAGAGTTTTGCTGGTGTGCCAGTTATATCGCGATCAGATATTGTTTAATCAGTATGCAGAGCGAAAACATGCCTTCGGATTATTTATTTAAA